TAAGGCTGCGGCTTTCGGCTTGTTGCGGCGCCGGGGACGAAAAGTTGAGTAAATCAAGCTAACCTATCGACCCTGAACCCTGTCCACTCACATCTCCTCTCACTGCAGCTGTGAGACGCCGCGCAGCGGTGTGCAGCACGTCCAGGATCTCCACCTCTTGCAGAAGTCAGACCCTGGAGTTAAAGCACACGCCACACAGTAAGAAAACTATCCCCCGGCCACCAAAGCCATGGCTCTTTTCCAAGGCTTGAAGTCTTGGTTTTTCCATAAGCTGGAAGTGTGTTGTTGTTTTCAAAGTCCAGGAAGCAAACTCTGCCTTTGCTGTAGATCTGGCTGCGGGGGTTCCGGCCTTTTTGTCGTAGCTGGCGCATACCCAGCTTTGTATGGACAGCTAACATGAGAGACCAAGATGCCCCAACTGAATTGTGATGGATCTATGAACCATATGGTTAGAACTTACAAAGCCAGCTGGAACAGCAAAATGATCCTCCGAATCGCGAATACCTGCTTGGACTTAGTAGGACAACATGCCTTAAGTATCATGCTGTCACGTTAAGCCTTGTAATGCCTTAAACTGGCACCGGCTGTACTATGGGTATGCATGGCTATTTATTCCCTCTTGCTTGCAGAGAGCCAGCTTCCAAGAGCCCAAATACTACTGCTATTTCCAAATCAAAATCCAAGCCGTCAGAAAACCGGCGATCATCTTCACGATACCCGCAAGACAGCAATGAGCTGTACGAGGGCACCTCGGTAAGCTTCGTGAGGGCGTCGCTTGATGCCTTGGCGCAGAATGTCGGCCGGGACAGGCAGGGCAGGGCTGCTACAAAACCAGAGCTCAGACTCTATAAGCTCGGGATACCCCTCAAGCTGATATCTGCTGAACTCTGTTTTTTGAGACTCGGTCCAACCTGCCATCTGCCAAAACATGTAATCCTTCCACAATGGCCAGCAGCACCCCTAATTATGTGTACGGAGCCTCAGAATTCACCAGCAGCCAGATCCTGGGGAGCTTGCCAACTCTTTGCTGTCCATCAGCAGCTGCAGCCCCTCTCAGATGGCATGTTGCAGGTGGATGTGATTCTGGCACGACTGTTTGGGGGATGTGAACGCGGTGGCTAGGCCTTGCATCTCGTCTGTCCTTGTAGCGAGCGGAACAGAATTCACGATTGTAACTAATGCATCAAGTGCGAGACCCGAACCCCCCCCCTCAACCCTAAACCGTAACTTCAACATGCAATCTCACTCAAAACTGCAGGCCGAGACAAACTGCCTTATTCTAGGGGCCTGAACGAGTGGAATCGGATTTCGACACATATCATGTTGTAGATATACTTGGTTCCAGAATAAGGCAGTAGTATTCTTCAGGCTGCTTCAAACCCGTAGGATATACCTTGATCGAGGATCCTTCGCCAAGGAGCACACATATTATTTCTCACTCTATGACCTTCATCAAAAACCTGAAACCTGAAATTAACCCTTATTATAACCCCAAACCTAAACCCTAAACCCTAAACCCTAACTCCAAAAACCCCATCGCTCCAAAAAAAGCTTCGGAAGAGCACCGGCCTTGGAGGAGGTCATGAAAGAGTGCGGAGAGGGGCCCAGAGGCAGCGCCTTCGCAGCTTCAACTGCTGGGTCTCGGGCTTACCCATAAGCCCTAAGTAGTTCCTCTTTGTGGTTCATATTTAAGGGCTCGCAGATATACGTACATAGGGCTCCTTATGGTGTTTATAGGGGGCTTAGAAGGATGTTTAGGGCTTGTAGGGCTATGAAGCTTGTAGGGCAGTCCTTGAAGCTTCTAGCGTTGTTGCAGGGGGTAATGGGTCATCTGGTCTTTGCCTTTTTTTGCCCGTGTTTGCAATCGATGCCGGTAACCACGGCTTGCAGCTAGGTCTGCCGCCGAGAATAGACACTCCAGAGCCATGAATAATGCGGACGGTGCCTTATTTGATGTCAGGTAACCTGTGACAGGATTCAACCCGAGCAGGTGCGAACAGGTGTATGCTTTGTACACACACTCCGAAAGTCTCGCCACCCGCGCCTCAGCTTTGCCTTCCGTGGAGGTGAGGTTTATGCCAGGGCTGAGTTGAATCTGCGCCTGAAAGGGGTGGAGCTCACGAGGCTTAGGCTCTTCGGGCTAGGACTCGTGGGTCTGCCGGTGGCTCCAATTACTAAGTGCTTACCCTATCCCTGTTATCATCCTTCTTAAGGGGGTGGAGCTGTGGTCTGCAGTGTTTCGCAGAGGAAATGACTGTTTGAAGTACCCATCAGCCTTCAAGACCGCAAGGTCCGGAAGTTGTGGCCGAGGAATCTGCTACCTTGACACCACCTGTAAGCTTGTTCTATTTAGGGGGCTCAGGGATCAGGGCACCTTAGGAGGACAAGGGCACCTTGCAGACAAGGTATACCTGAGGTTGCTGCGCATGTAACCTGTAACTCCTGTAACTCTGAGGGCCAGTTGAAGGCTTCAGCATGTCGTGGTTTTGCGGTCGAGCTGTGCACTTGGGACTCGTCACTCACCTTTCGCCTCCTAGGTCGGAAGCTGCAAAACGAATTTCCAGGGATGTACCAGTAGGTCAACAAGGAAAACGTACGCTTGCATGCTTTACTGTCAGGCTAGGATGCGAGAGGGAATGTAGGTGGCGTGGGCCAGTCGGCTAAGTGCTGAGGCCTCATATCTCTGACAAGCGTAGCTTGCCCCACTGTTGTCTTTCGACTTCCTGCCTTCCTATTCTTACAACATGCCGCCGCAAGATCCGCAAGAGCAAGCCGCGAAAACGGAAAACGTGGGTTCAACAGGACGAATACCAATGACAACTTGTTGGGGCCAACACCAAATCTGAAACTCTTCAGCCAGAGCCCCCACAACCCCCGTATCACCTCGAGAGACACGTGGGGGCGCCCCCTGAACAAGCTTCAAGGATTCTTTCGGTTTCCCTTACGCAAAAACGACGCCTGACTTTTGAAGGACAACGACCAAGTATATTGAATGTCCGAGGCACACATGCGTCGCACGCGGTGTTTTGCAGGTGGAAGTAGCGCCGCAAGCCCTCTCGGCTAGGCTAGCGGCTAGTTGGGTCGGGTTTATGAAAGATTCAAGGGGCTCAGTAGCATGGTGCCTCACTTTATTTTCCAGGAAAGCATGGAACATCGGTTGTTGTTTCAAAGCAGGCATAAAACCCTTGCTAGTTCGATTTCTTGGCTGGGCGGTCTTGGGCAGGATTCGTGCCGCATGTGAGAGATCAACTTTGACAATCTTTGTCGGTCTTGCCACCTCTTGACCTAAGTTTGCCCAAACAGCCCCCGCAATAAAACGGCCCCAAGCCATAGTGTTCGCGTGAATTACACAACCCGTCAGTCCTGTACATTCTGCAAGTCCATAATCCTCCTGTGGCTCCAGATCGAAATCACTACCCCTCGAAGCCGTAAACCCCAACTGCTACAAACCTGGTCTCCACAACAATCCCCAAAACACCACGCCCTAAAGCTTGAACTGCAAACCCTTGGGCACTTCTCATCGTCCGAACCCGCAATCTCAAGAACTGAAACCTGGAATTCAATTCGCAAAAGCCCCGCCGAGCCCAGAAGAAGAAGAAGACCACGAAGAACACCTTAAACCCAAAATGGCCCCGGACAACCCAAACCCAGTACCCCAAACCCATGAGCGGAACATCCTAAATCCAACGTTGCAATCCTAAAGCTCTAAACCCTATAAGCCTATAAACCCTCAAACCTGAAATCCTTCCAACCCTGAGAGAAAAAGTTAAATTGAAACTCCGGCTCCATCCTTCTCTACCCGGATCATGCATTGCTCACTGACCTGCCGGTGTTGGGGATGCTTTTCAAATGCCGGTCTTCCTTAGGGCTTTAGGGAGTAGGGTTCTGGGTTGAGGGTTCGAGCTGTTGGGAGTTTGGGGTTTTAGGGAGTGAAGTTGAGGGGTTGGGGGTTTACGGTCTGTGGCGGTGTCTGTGGGGTTTCGCAGTGAAGAACTTCTTGGAGATACCGTTGTCTTCTTAAGGCTACCTAGTATACCCGTGGAAACTGCGATAACAGTCTCCATAATCCATCAACCAAATCCTGCCAAATACGTCGAAGGGGGTGCCTCAGAACAGCTTAGGTGTTGCTGTCTGGAGCTATAGGCTATAGGGTCTCACAGGTGTGGCATTTTTAAGGTACCCCCCAAAACCTTATTCTACTGTTAATGATATAAATCCTTAGCAGCACCTTAAGGACCCTAAACTATCGGAATTATGGTAGATTCCATATTCTGGGTAATGCAGGACTTAAATCATCAACCGTAGTTCTGAAGGCCCTTTTCGTAGGTCGACAGGGTTTCTTTGGGCCCGGTGCTCCCGGAAGCCCGGTTCGATCCAGGAACTTCAAACGTGTTCAGCGTCCTGCTGAGGAAACCATAGCTGCCGCGCCACAGTGTGTAAGAAAGGGGCCGCAATGATTAGACTGGGGGCTGACGGGTATATTTGCTGTATACATTTGTATATAAAAGGACCAGAAGGTGACAAGATGAGAAGTTATTCCAATCATTCCAATCCCCATATTGTGCTGAATTTAGGGGCCAGTGCATTAACTTGTCAGCACCCCTGCAAAGGGAGAGGCTCGAGCTTCGTAGAGTGATTGCTGAACACCTGCTGGAAGCTGCCCTATACCCTAACCCTAAACCCTAAACTTGCCCTGAACCCCAAACCCTAAACTTGCCCCAAACCCTAAACCCTAAACCCATAAGCCCAGTATTCAAGGCGCAGAAAAAGCAACCGACCGCAGGTCTGATTGAGGCTTAAGTTTCAGGGTCTCTTTTCTGTTCCGTGTCGATCAGTAGAAGAGGATCCTGAGACTCAGGCCTTCTGTGTTTCTGGATCCCGGAGATCCACACCTTCCAAAACTGCAGCCATGTTTTGTATCTGAAATGCAATACTGCAGTCGCTCGTATACGCGCCACTCGGAGCTTCGTCCATTCAAACTTGTTCCTGTCTGCTGCGCTTCAGACATAATGCTGCAATCGCTCGTACTTTGCGGCTCGCAGCTTTGTCCATTCAAACTGTGGGCCTTGTCTTCCCAGGGTCACTTGGCGCACCAAGCTTCCGTAGATTTCTTCGTTTGCTGCTTCTCCGAACTCACGGATCATGAGCCCAGTGAACACGACGTCATCTGGACTTTCAATCAGCCACTCCAGCTCAGAATTCGTTTCGAAGTTCGAGTCCATGCGAAGATGCTCCGGCCAATACTTGTTCCCCAAGGATCCTGGCTTCACTACGAATGAGCCCGGACGAACGCGACACTCAAGAACAAGCTGAGCCCAATGATTCTCCTCCATTTCCAAGAACTCTGCATAAACTGGAAAAGCCGCGTACTCAATTGCTGGACTGACGTAAATAGTGCGGCGGCTGGTGCTGTAAGCCTGACCATGCGCAACACAGACACCTTGATCACCTGGCCTTCGGAGTCCACGGAGCATGATGGACGCGACATTCTGGCAACTTGTCCCATGATATGCAATGCACCAACCTGCATACTCTTCGAACTTGTCGATTGCAAGCGAGCATCTACGCCATCCGCATGGCTTGAAGTATGGGTATCCTCCTCGTTGGCCATAGCAGGCAGTATTGAAGGAATACAGGCGGGTGAATTGTGGATCGAAAAGCAGCTTGCTCTTGATCGTTTCCAGGAGCTGGTCGAAGTAGCAATCCTCACGATGTTCCTCAAGCACCTTCATAAGAACTGTCATGAGTTCTGCATTTTCTTGCGACAAAGTCGGGCACTCGGCAAGGGCAGATTTGACCTTTTCCTGTCGCGAGCTTCTGTTGCAGTAATACGACAAGACCTCGCTGAGCGAATCTCCTGCATTCCACTGTGCACGCTGCCTTGTCTCGATGAAATACTCGCCGTTATTTCCGAAGTAAACATGATTCAATGTGTAAGCCTCGGGGCTTTTCAGAAACGCTGAAAGCCCATGTTCTGGTGGCAAGCGCCACTTCCAAACACCGTGGTGGAAGAGCACGCACCAACCCGTGGGACGAGCCAGCGCCAGATGCTTCACGTCCCGTGGGTGCCTCGCCACCAGCTCCTCTAATTCTTTTGGGAGGCCGTGCCAAAATGGCTCGCCATTCACGCGGTGAACAAAAGACGACTGCTGTGGGCCAAAAGCAACCCAAGAGACCTGCATCTTGCCATCCGAGTCCTTCGTGGCATGAAGCGCCGCAGCAAACAAATCGGACGCGTTGCCGAAAAAGGTCTCCGCGTCCTCCCACATTATGAACCACTCCCCATCCGGCCCTAAAGCGACTTCGTGAATAAATCGACGAGACTCCTCAAGCACAGTCTTCAGCTCTCCTGGGATGCAACTGACGTGGGAGGACCAATTCCCGGTGGGATCGTCAAGTTTGAGGAACCAGGAAGACTCATCCTTGCCAAAAGCAACGATGCTGGGCCAGGCCATGGCTGACAGATTCGGGTGCACTGAGAAATTATAGCCGGAGTCTCCGAAGCTTGAAGAAGCAGTTCAGATGTTGTGAAACCCTGTGTCTCAGAGATCAGAGAGGCTCCTAGAGCTGAAAGACGCTGCAAGGCACAAGAGGGCTCAACCTGGAGAAAGCCTTCTTTAGTGGCTTGAGCAAGCACAGAGAGAGTGTGCAACGGGGTGTTAATAATAAGGCGCAGCTCCAAGGGCTCCGGTATGTCAAATCAGGAGGGACCAACACACCAAGACTGCAACTGACGCAACAGGAAGGGGCTTATTCGTAAGAGCGACTCGCTCACGCGGTGCTGCCCAAAAGCATAAGCAACTATAATAACAGAATAACAATAAGGATAAGAATAACAATAACAACAATAGGTATAACAATGAAAACAAACAATAAAAAACAACAATGAAGCTGCAATCATGCTGTGCCTTCGACCCTACATGCTAATCCCTAGTGGTCCCGCGACCATCTCTGTAGCGACCACCGGCGAAGAAGGAACTTAGAAGAGCCGTCGAGCTCGGGGTTTCGGACTCCGGCAAGGCAAAGTACATAGAATAACGATCATATTTTGGAGTTTGGGTAGGCTTCGTGATCATTAAATCCACGACATGAGGCCCGCTTCATCTCGGTCCTATGCTCATCCAGATTCGGAGGCTTCTTCGGAAGCGCATGCACGGTTGGGACAGGCAACATGTGCGAAACTCTGAGGACCAACCTGAACCCTAACCCCACAACCTAAAATCCATTGACTCTGCAGGCCCGTCTGAGCACCTGGAAAACCCCTTGTGCCCTGCGGCTCATCACGACAGACAGGGGGCCCTTCCCAAAGTTCAACCAAAAAAACAATTTCTTTAACCGTCTTCTCAGGTGGCCCCTGGCTTCACATCATACCATGACCCAAAGCATGATGCCACTGAAGAGCAGCTCGCACTGTTTACGATTTACTGAGGCCGAGCACGCTTTGCACGAGGATCGTTGTAAACAGAAGGACCACTGCATTCCAAAGCCGGTGGAGAGGGCGAGGTTTCCTGAGTTGGCAAGAGCTGCTCCCGAACGGAACTGCTGTCACCACCGTATCTGGCATAGCCCCAAGTAACGATTGATCCATCCGCCAAAATCGCCGCAAACGCGAGGTCTGAAGCCTGCACCTGCTGCACGTTCTTCAGCTGCCCTTGGACAGCATCGCTATCACCACCATAGTCAGCATGCCCCCAAGTTACAACAGACCCATCTGCCAGTATGGCAGCAAAGGCATGCATGTTTGCTTGGATCTGCTGCACTTTCCTGAGCCGATTCTGCACAGAGCGGCTATCGCCACCTCAGGGTTCAGGAAAGAACAACGGAATGTCTTGGGGCGTAGCGTAAGGGCCTGAACTATCAGAACGGCCGTATGCTTATATTGAGGTTTCTAGCCCTAAACCCTAAATCCCTAACCCCTAACCCCTAAACCCTAGAATCCCTAGAATCCCTAGAACCCTAAACCCCTAAACCCTAAAACCCTAGAACCCTAAACCCCTAGGGACGCAAGAGGAGAGTCTGATCAAGTTGTAGCTTCGGATCTGGGGCAGAGTTTCTTGCGGTTTGGCGGAGTTTAGGTGCAGAGCTGTGGGGTTTTAGGTTGAGGGTTTAAGGGGTTTAGGGTTTAGTGGGTTTGGGAGTTTAGGGTTCAATTCAAAGGCTTCAGATTCAAAGGTTTGGGGCTTAGGGTTAAAGTCAAGGGATTTCCAGGGCTTCGCAGAAAAGTTTGGGAGACGGACACCAGAGTCATCAGCGCCCCAGGTCACGACAGAGCCATCGGGAAGCAGAGCAGCAAAGGCATTGTGCGAAGCCTGAACCTGCGGAGTTCAAGGATTTAGATATCATCTAAACTTTGACTTTGTTGGGGGGGTTATATCCCTAGGAGGAGCGGTTCAATAGTGGCTGTCTGCGCTCTGTTTGATTCTTCGTTGGCATCTTTGGTCCCTGAAGCCTGCTGCACATTCCGCAGCCGATCCTCTACGAAGCGGCTGTCTCCACCATGACCGGCACTTCCCCAGGTAACGATGGAGCCATCCGCCAGCATGGCGGCAAAAGCAAGGCGGGCAGCTTGTATTTGCTTGACGTCTCTTAGCTTGTCTTGGACGGCACTGCAATCGCCACCGTATGCGGGATTTCCCCAGGCAGCGACCGAGCCATCCGCTCGAATGGCGGCGAAGGCATTCTGGCCAGCATGGACCTGCCTTACGTCCTGCAGCTCGTAGACGGCGCGGTCAACAACACCAAGAGAACACTTGGCACCCCAAGACACCATGGTGCCGTTTGTTAAGATCGCAGCGTAGGCAGATTGGGATGCTTGGATCTGCTTCACGTTCTTCAGCTTGCCCTGGACAAGGCTTCCACGGAACATAGGAAGTTACACAGAGACGTAGAACATGCCGTACAGTATGGTTCTTGTGCCAGGCGGCTCAGCAAAATGTTGCGCTTAAAGGTCTAGAAACCGTAGCGCCCGGTATCAAGATCAAGTCAAGGTGGACAGCGAGTGTTGCTGACAGAGGAGGTTTATCTAGCACTTTGCCGTCATCTGGAGCAGCTCTGAAGCCCTACAGTTCCACTTAGCGTCTTTCACCCGGTGCAGTAGCAGGGGAATGCACGGGAGCCTAGCTCACAGGGGTTTCGGCGCCTTACGGTTTAGGGGATAACAGCCCTAGCAGTATGAGCTTGATATAACAGCAACGGCAGGGCAGGTTTTTCAATTACCCGCTTTTACAACAAGAGGAGCCAAGATCCTGGACAGCGCTGCTGTCACCCTGGCGCTCACCCCAAGTTACGACGGAGCCATCCTCCAGAATTGCAGCAAAAGAATAGTGAGTGGCCTGAATCTGCCGCACCTTCCTGGGCTGTCAAGTTAGATCCCTAAAATCTTACCCGCGCCGGGAAATCTCTTCAGTTGCGGGGTCCTGAGCAAACTTTGTTGTAGAGGTTTTTTGGGTTTAAAGTGAGCCTTCGCACCCCATATGAACACATTATACAATGCTATACAAACTTCGCAAAACTCGTTCATGAAATACGAAGAAACCGGGTGAACAAATACATAAAACCCCACCAGAACCGGATACCAGGTTCCTCAAGCGATCTTGAACAAGGCTGCTGTCACCCCCATAGTCAGCATTGCCCCAAGTGATGACAGATCCATCCTGTTCGGGTTTGGCGGTTTAAGGCCTCCGCGTTCTAAAAAAGTTTTAGGATTCCAGGCCTTGGGGTCTTAGGGTTTAGGAGTTCATGGGGCTATTGAGTGGACTTCCGCTTTAGGACTCTTGGGTTGCAGGTTTTACGCTCTCTCGCAAGTCGGACTCAGCCAAGAGGGTTTAGGGTTTGTGGTTGCGGGTTTTAGGGTGTACGGCCGAGGCTGCAACCAAAGCAACAACGTTAAAGGCTGCTTGCTCGGCTACCGAGCATCCCCCAGAATGGCGGCAAAGGCATAACGGGTCGATTGGATTTCTTGAACATTCTTCAGCAGATGCTGAACCGCCCGACTATCGCCGCCACAGAAGCTTGCTCCCCAGGTTGCGACCGACCTATCTGCCAACATTGCAGCAAAGGCATGTTGAGAGGCCTGGAGTTGTTGTACGTTCTTTAGCCGACCCTGTACGGTGCTGCAGTCGCCACCATAGGGTCGCTCACCCCAGGAGACTACGGAGCCATCCGGAAGGATGGCAGCAAAGGCAGAAACCGCTGCCGCAACAGCAACCTTTGTTCATAGGTCGAAACAGTCGTAAAACGCAATCTGTCTCTAAACAAGGGATTAATTTTTACCCCGGCCCAAAACTCAAGCATATTTGCTTTTCAAAACAGGGGTTCATATTCGCACCAACAAGAACCAAAATTGCCTGTTCAGCCGCTGAGGAGCAGGTCTCGTTGCCAGTGTTAAGACTTCGCCCTTCTGCAGACCCGCCGAGCTGACCGTCATGCTTCCTGTGCTGTAATTTCCCTCGGCTCCCTAAACCTCAGGCAAGAATCCCGGATCCCTAAAGTCCTAAATCCTAGAACCTAACACTTAAAGCGTTTAGACGTAGGGATTTCCGAAAATAGGGGACCCCTGATATAGCACCCTAAATAGTAGGATCCATATTCTAAGGACCCCAAAATAAGGTACCCCGTATTTTCGGAAACTATCATATTTTCAATAAGAAAAGGATGCTCTGCCAGCCCCGGATTCCATCCAAGGAGACCCCACCAGCGCTGAGGAGCGAGCCGCGAACACCGAACGCGACTTCCGCGCGACGCTGGAGCTCCTCGACGGATGTGTCATGAAGCACCTCAAGGGTTTTTCAGATTGGAAGGTTTAGGGTTTAGGGGAGAGCCAGAGACTACTTTGAAAACTCTTTTGCCATGACAGGTGCGGTGAGGTCGCTAGGTTGCTCTAGCCCCTGATCTATTTCAACATCCCTGTTATCCTGTGCGTGCCAGGCCTCCTCAGACAGGCCATTGTAATGAGTACAGAGCTTCTACTATCAAAAGGAGTTCAAGGCTACCTGCTCGACTGCAGAGCTATGACGAAGTACCACAACAAGCGCTGTCGCAGGTAAGCAGGGGTTTCATGCTTAGCAGCTGCCCACCTCGACTTCCATCCGTCGGCCGCTCATCAAGGCAACGGCTACAGAGACGGTCATTGCTCTGACTGGGATGTTTGGGGCTTAGGGTTTAGGGATTTAGCAAAAGAGGCTCTTTTTGCACACCCTCTACCGGGATGTTTGGGGCTTGGGGTTTAGGGATGCAAGGAGATTAAGGTGCCTTCATGGGACGTTGTCTTGACTAGCTGCATGTTTACAGAACTTCCGCAGTGGAACTTGCGAGCACCGGCTGGCTGTGCAAAGCTTGGTCCAAAACATTGTAAATATCTGACTTTAAGGCATGCCTTGGCGTCCATACCAATGCAGTCGAGTGCGTGGCAAACCGGGTGTATAGGACTGCAGAAACTGCTAGCATCACAGCATTCACTTCTGCAAGCTTTCGGGGGGGGGAAGAACGCAAACACCCCAAACAATAAGCCCCAAATGGGGTTTCCGAAACTAGGGGACCCCAATATAGTACCCCAAATAGTAGGATCCTTATTATAAGGACCCCAATTTAAGGTACCCTTATTGTGGGAAACTCCCAAATCGGGAGGCCGAGGCCGTCAGACTCCACCAGTCTCCCTACCTCCGTCATCTCGGCCGTGGCAATGGGAGGCAAGGAGACCTCAGGTTTCAACAACATGGAAACCATAGTATCTACTGAAGATCCCAACTGACACCAAGTTCCTAGACAAGAACCCAATCATGTTGAAAGAACCCTCAAAATTCACTTTTAGGCAGGGTTCTATAAGGGAATTAAGCATGATCCCAGATCAGTACCTAGGCTGCTTATGAAGCATGAACCTCTCTGTCTGGTACTCCAACATGTGCGGAAGGGTTGCAAAGGAGCAACGCCGAGACATCGGCTTTGGGGTGTGGAAACTAGGCTCAAGCAGCGCCCACTGGGGGTTTAGGGGCATAATTCGAAGTAGGGGCCTATACAGTCGGTACTATTCAGTTTAGGGGTTTAGGGGTTTGGGGCTTAGGCCCTACTATGGAATACAAGGGACACGATACGTACTTGTTCAGACTTCTCTAGATAAGACACTACCGCAGAGGGAGGGGAGGTATCCACTTGCTCATAGACTCCTGCATGAGCGGAGCGATTTTGGACGTTCGGCTGAAGTCATAATCAACTATGCTGGCTTCAACTGGGGTTCGAGATGTGACTCCACATTAGACGACGGGGGCTGGAAAGAAACCACAGGACACTGACCCACCTTTCCTATATACAGGGGATTGAATAATGTCGCTAGGGTTCTGGGGCATGCATTGCACTGCACCCCGAAACCCTAAGCCAATCCTAAATCCTTTAGCCTGAACCCCTAAACCAAGGGAATCATTCAGAAACCCCTCCATGCCCGTCTCTATATTCTATATTATACATATTATGCAATATATCTATAGATAGGTATCAGATGCCAAATGTATTCCCGTAGCAGTGATCCTGGAAGGACGTCCCCAACCACTCCAAACCGGTTTTAAGACATAATTCGAAGTAGGGGCCTACACCGTAGGTACTATTCAGTTTTATTTTTGGGACCCCTTCTACTTCTCATTATTGCCATGAGCGGTAGTATTATCATCATCATTATTCTTACTATTAAGCAGTGAGACTTGGGGTTTGGGATGGGGGGTCAGTATGTTGCAATGAGTATAGGCTTTGGGGCTTGTCAGCACAAGCTTTTCAGACCTCTGCATGGGTAGTTCTCTAAGTTAGGGTCCCCTTTTAGGTCTTAGGTCCTCAATATACTACGGCACTCGTATAAAAAAACGCATCCTAAATGGGAACCTAATTCGGAGAACTACCCATGTTGAGGTTGAGGCAGCTTCGTCCTCACTTCTCATCCCAAGCCCAAGATTTCGACTCCATGGCCGAGGCGCTAGGAAGTTGGCCACCGAAGCCAAGGTCGAGGTTGCCTGAGATGATCGAATGCAGGGGCCGGAAGAGTGAGTAATACAAATTCCATAGGGTTCCATGCTAGAATTATGACGATACTACAGCATGCCCAAACACCCTATTATATTCTAATTCTTACGGGCACTGTTCCTCTCTACTCCGATGGCCATAGCTTGGGCCATGTCTTTTCAGTAATAGTTTCGAACCTCGGTCCTCTCTTAGGTCCCGGGACGAACCCGGTTCCCCCTGTATATAACCCCTCGAACAAGAAGGATACTACCGGGGGGACCTACTACCCCAAAAAAGCACCTCACTCTGGAGAAACCCGTGTCGTCCTGCATTCGTAACTAGATTTCTGGAGAATTCATACACCTGTTGTGGCATCCGTGCCTGACCTCAACGAAAACCTCCAATTTCTTCATGCGCTTGAAAACGCCGCACTCGTGAATCTGCAAACAGTCAGCGCACACGCTAGTTCAAGGCCAGCCAAAAAGAGAGGCGGGCACGTGAATTCCATTCACTGTCATTGTACTTGCATGAAGTAAGCTTGCCAATACCATGCTTCCCCAAAGGACACCAGACCAGTGTGATTCACAATGTCGGAAATAGTAAGCGAACACCCCCCCCCCCCGCTCTCTTCTATTCTAGCAGCTTCTAGCTTAAATCACGCCTTCGGATCGGAGAGACTCTGGTAGCGGGTAACATTGGGGCCTTAATAACCATAGTGGGCTTTTGGGTGTACTTTCTGGCATAAGCAATTTTACGATTTTACGGGGATCCTCACGATTTCGCAAACCCCTAAACCCTAAACCCCTAAACCCCTAAGCCCTTAAACCCCTAAACCCCTACACCCCTAAGCCCTAAGGGGATCCCCTTAACATACTTCGGGGTGTCCTGTCCAAGCTACAGCTTCGGCGGCCGCCTCGCTGATGGCCTCAGGATTCCCAGACGTTGGCTCTTGGGGGTCCGTTCTCCCACCTACGGTTGTCGATATGAACTCCTGCCTTACCCATAATAAGGAATATACCACAATGCCCATAATTTAGGGTCCTTGAGGTATTGCAGGTTTTGTATCGTCAACAGTAGCTGCTACGACGAAGCCCGCATTGCAGGGTACCAGTGGAGAGGAAAGTAGCGCGGCGACTCAGTATCCTTTGGCAGATATCGCTCATCCAAGGATTACATTAGGGTCTAGGGAGTCTAGGGTTTAGGGTCTTCAAGAAGGGGATCTATAAGGGCGCTATCGGGGATCTGAAGGGTTAGGGGGGGCTTTCGGGTTGAAGCGTCGTTTGGGCTCTTTCGGTGTGAGGGTTTAAGGTTTAGGCTGCTGGGGATGCTGTGCAAGTCTGAACCAACAACGCCTTGTAATCGATATAATCACATAGAAGATCCGACAACCGTTTGCCCGAGCAATCCCTGCATCACGACACCAGCCCAGCCTTCGTGGATGTTGGCGATGCCTCTCCAACCTCGTTGCCAGCCTTGCCGTCAGGATGAAACCCTACTTGGCAGGGAAGGCCAGGCGAAGGCTTCTTGTCAGCAAAACACGGTTAACCGCGCGCCCCTTGCAGACATGAATTCTGCTCCAAGCAACACAGGAGAGCCGTTTTTCCAAGTCTCTCCAAACCCCACGTGGAAGAAAAACTTCAATAAAGAACCTGCATTTTTTAGGACTCCTTGTTACTAGTCTTATATTGTCGATTATTGTTGTTTCTGTATATGAGTCCCTACAAAGGAAGGCCTCTGCCCCAGGACCTTAGGTTCAGTCTTGAGAGTCCCTGGGACCCCGTAGGGGCTGGTAAAGCCGCGCTACAGTCGATGGACTAAATCTGCCAGTAGGAACTCGGACCCGCCTTTAATCCACGGTCATGGCTCTGTTGTCGATCAGCGCCCATACTTTTACATGGTTTACTAAAAAGCTCGGGGCAACCTTCCGTTACAAAGTCGATACCATCTTTCCCATAGTTTATGGAGCTTAGCATCATGCACGACTTGGCCCATCAGCAGTACACAAATTATCAAAAAAGGAACAAAGTCAAGAATACTGGCGCGAGAGAGCCAAAAAAGGTCCTTGACTGGGTAGGTAGTGTAGACTGTAGGCGACTGATCGACCTGACCGGGGCTTTCGTGGTATGGACTGTCTTAGGCCTTAAACCCCAAGCCCTTAAACCCTAAACCCTTTCACCCTAAGCCAAAACCCTCAAACCCCAAACAGGAACAACCCTACTAAAGCCCTACAGCTAAACTCTGCAGCCGTTTTTTGGAACCCTGAGCTCTACATCCAATCGGCCGGCACAGTCACGCCCAGGGGACATGTGCGGATAAACCCTGCGCTCTAAACCCTAAACCCCCGAAACCCCGAAACCCCGTATCAACCCCAAAGCCGGTTCCTCGTCCACCTCCGGCTCTGCAGAGAGATTGGGTAAGGCGCCCTGGGCATCCGCAATCCACATGCTTTAGGGGTTTAGGGTTTGAGAGGCGTTACTGGTTAGAACGGGGTTTCAACGTAGATTGTAGCATCGAGATGAGCAGAATTCCCGCACCCCTGAAACCCCAAACCCTGCATTCCTTAAGTCCTCAATCTCACGAGCTGTGAAGAACGCCTCCAACACTGCGGTGACGGCACCTTGGCTCGTGCAAGGTCAAGAGGCAGAAAGATAATCAGAGGAGGTGAGAGGGCGTTCCTTGATGGAGCAACTACTCAGAGAGAGCTGTACACGAGGTTCAGGCGGTTTCGCAAGGGTTCATCGCAGCCTATATTGGGTTTCAGGGAAGAGTCCTCACTGCAGGGGTACTGCGGTCCCGGTGTACGGCATGGCGGCATTTGAAGTCTGTACAGTGATCTCATACCTTCAGCTCAAAGTTGAACACTGCGCACTCTGCACCCTAAACCTTCAGCTGCTGTAGGAGAGCAGCAGTTCCTTGCTCTACAATCATGAAATCGGACCCAACGAACAAAGACATCGCCCGCCAGATCCTCTGAAGAGAAGAGCTGACGTTTGAAACACTTGTCGAAAGCGCCGACAATGTTCCCGCTTTAGGGCTCGACCGGGGGTCCTATAAATCTTGATCCGAGACCTGCCACCCGAACCGTAGCCTCACTTACACGACTTAGACGGTGGAAGACGCTGCCTTGCAAGATGCTGAGAATGTAAAG